TGCGGGGGCTTTAGGTGAGGAAAATCAGAAACAGGGGTATTGTGGCTGGACCTTACAGGACTTCAGCCCAGGAGAGGGAGCAAGAAAGAGCTTATACAAAATAGGGATGCCTGAGTGCTAATACATGGCGGGTTTTAGAGAACTGAGCAGTAGGATGGCGTTGGTGAAGGTGAACAGTGTCCCACAGAGGTTAGAGGAGGACGCGCTCTGACGGTCAGGTCCTCAACGCCAGGCTACAGTTTGGACTTCCGGCTGCAACGGGAAACGCGTAGGGTTTTGGACTAGAACAGTGGTTCTCAACCTTCCTGATGCTGCAACCTTTTAATACAGTTCTTGTGGGTTGAGACCACAGGTTGAGAACTGCTAGACTAGAGCATGACATCATCACATCTGTGTTCCAGACCAATAAAGTTGATGGTTGTTTGGGGTCTAAACTTTTAGTGAAAAGAGAGAAAATCACAAGGAAGCAAAGACAAGTATTTCTTTGTAGAAGGTAAAACAGAGCAGCGGTAGTGGAAAGAGAAAAGACCACAGATTCATGACAGGCCTCAGACACAGCCAAGTCCAACTGGTGCCTGACCAGATGTCCAGGTGAGAGAGACAGAGGTGCTGCAGAGCTGCCAGTGGGAGTGACTGGGGGGGGGGTGGCAAGTGCTTAGCACCTACCACCCAAGCCACTGGGACAATGTCACCCACAGCCACTGGGACAATGTAAGTAGAGCTCGTGCCACTTAGCCCATGTCTTGGAATCTGACTGTGTGGCCTCTTCATCTCCACTCCGTCCTAGTGCCCTCTCAGTAACTTTCACTTCCCTTTCTGTGGTTGCTGAGAGACGTGAAAATCTCACGTTATGGGGTAACATTCCTTCCTTCAAACTTCATATTTTTAAACTTTCTCTGAGTTACAGAAATGGAATCTTAAGCTTTTTAAGCAGAAGAAAACCCAAGGTAATATGAGATATCTGATAGTGTGAGGACCCACCTCCCAAGGCACGTCCTTCAGATGGTTAGAACTTAGTGCTCCATCTACTTCTCACTCAAATCACAGGCAAAGCTACCTACTAGTTTTCATATTTACAATTTACAGGTTACTGAAACCAGGAGAGCAACAGTTCAACTACGACAAAAAAGATGAACCATGCCAGAAAAATTATAATATAAAATGACCAATAAAATCTGCCCACGTAAAATAACCCAGTAGCAAAATTTGCACAGAATCTACCAGGCACACCAGTCATGAAAGTAAAGTTGCAGGGCCCAGTAAGCCTATTATACTAACTTCAACTTTATTTAGAGGGCTGCTCACTATTTTTTTCCCCAAGTAATTAACAGCTATTCACAACTCAAACAAATGAGCTGTGCTACAGAATAGCAAAATGACAAGAAGGGGCAAGTTTCACAGCAATCAGAGTTAGAAGGATTTACTGATACCGTTTTTGGCGACATAGTTGTGACTCTTAATCACTCTCAATTCTGTATCACTATAAACACAGTTTTCCAAGTTGTATAACAGGATCTTTGTACATTTCTTCAGCTGTATGGTCAGGCTGAGATATTAAAACAAATCCCATCAGTGCCCAATGTTGGGTCACTTGTGCCCGAAGCACTTCTGTGGTGCTTGCTGTCTCTGGTTCCCCTCCCTGCTGCTGGTCCCTCTTCCTCTTACTAAAGGACTGGCAATTTCTCAAATCCAGAAACACTTTACACTCAGAATTCACTCAGATAATGTACTCAGGAAGGCACTAATTCTTCAAGGTAGAAATCCACACTAAAATAAAAATGCTAAGCTCCAAAAGAGTACACTTTGATTGTGTAGATTACCGCTTGTGATGATGACAGAAAAAGGTAGTTTTACGCTCTTGTTTCTGGGTCTGGGGTGAGTTAGGCCTTGTGATAACTGCAGATCTGACTTCAAACAGAGTCACGGAAATGATAGTCAGGGGCACTTCAAGGCGTCTGACACAAACCCTCCCTAAACCACTGTCCTTTAATCACAGCACCAAGAGGGTCATCTTCCAGTTTGAAGGCCTTACTGTAAAAAAATCGTGGTCACACTTAACAGTGGCAACTCTGGCAAATGAAATACATACTGGAAAGAACATAAAATTATAATTTATGGGTAATGTATTTAAAACCTATAAACCCCAAGAGAATTATTTGAAAATCATTACACCCTTTAAAGGAAGAAAGACTAAAATAAAAAATAAGTAAATAAGTGAAATCAATGAAACAGAGAAATAACATATTTCTGGATAGCAAAACAATGTTATTAAAGGTACTACTTATTTCCAATTAGATACACATTTAATAATGTCTAATCAAAATATAAAGGATTTTTTTTTTTTTTGCAATTTTTGGCTGGGGCTGGGTTTGAACCCTCCACCTCTGGCATTATGGGGCCAGTGCCCTACTCCTTTGAGCTATAGGTGCCGCCCAAAATATAAAGGATTTTTTTAGGACTAAAATATTTCTCATGCTTAACTAGAGACTTTTCCACTCAGGGAAAATTCAGAAATAACATACAATACATAAAGATAACGTATACAT